CGCACCCTACTATGACCCACTGCAATTACCACATCTGGGAACAAATGGGATAAAACTAAGATATCAAGCGCTCTTTTATTTCGATAAACAAACTTCGCCTCAACCCAGCTCCTGCGAGCAGCTTTCGTCCGATTCAACAATTTTTGGCACTGCGTTTAATTAAGCACTTCATCGTATATTGTATTCCCAAGAATATCAAAAATTAAAGTAAATTGTACATTTTCATTCACTTTCTTAATCGCGGATGTAAGCTTGAATATCTTAACAAATTGGAGTTTTTTCATGGTCCTTCGAACCATACCGAATGGCACTATTGGCTTTGTTCAAATATAAATAAATAAACATAAAAGTGGTGACAAAAGTGAGGTACAAAAATAAAAATGCATAATATGCATTATAATATATAATAAATAGTATGTATATATGTTTGTATACTAAAAAACAAACCTATATTCGGTGATAAAGTGCAGTCACACAAGCAAAAAACAACAATATGTACCATACACACATATGTACATATGTATGTGCATATAATCTATATATATAAAAATGAAATGGTGTATAGTTGTAACGGTAAGGCTACGTTTATGACCGAGCGGATTCGCGTCGCGCGATGCGATGAAAATCGCTACTAGCGATCAAATACATAAATCCATACGGAGGTGTTTATCGTGCAGCGATTCAGCGAAAAGTTTCAGCGAAAACGGAGCGACTGCTAGCGACGAAATTTTCAGCGATCAAAATTTTTGATTCAGTTGAGCGAATCGCGTTAAACACGATGGACAAATTTATTGAAAAATTGCGAAATAAAGAATGTTTGTAGAATCTGCATCATCCAGATTATCATAATAGAAACGAAATCAGAAAAGCTTGTGAAGAAGTAGAAAAAGAATGCGGTTTGGAAGGTAAGTAATAGTATTATTTTATTTTTATGTAATAAACAACCTTTACTTAAGTGAATATAACATTTTTTGAACAAAATATTCCTTAAAATTGTTTCGTATGGTCGTAACAGCTTCAGAGCTTCTGTTATACTGCCTCTACCTATTCATATTTATGGGAATAGTTTGCTGAACTTGCATTAAGGTTTGCATACCAAGCATTACGAATGGTGCTGCAATTTCTGTGCCTGGTAGATTCCACTCTTCTGGAGTTTCATATTCTCCAGTTTCTATAAGCTTATGTAATGTTGTAGCTTCAAAAATGCCACCATCACTCTGCCATATGCAACAACTTCAATGGCAGTAAACTTGTAGTCAGCAGAGGCAACGCCTTGTAAAACGATGGAAAAAAATTGTTTGTAGTTGAAAAACATGCTGCCAGAATGCGGTGGCCTTTTGCAACGAATATGTTTGCCGTCGATACTTCCAATGCAATTCGGAAATCCCCATTTGGAGTAAAATTCGTCTGCTCTTTTTATCAATTCTTCATTTGTTTTGCGATTCAAATGTTTGGAAAGCAGAGACGTCCAAAGGGCGGTACATACTTCTCTAGTAATTTGGCCACTGTAGCAATTCCTATGCGATAAGAAAAAGCCAAAGATCGGAATGAATTTCCCGTTGCTAAAAACCTGAAAATAAATTTAAACGAAATTATCCTTTTTACATGTGTTTCAGCAGGCTCTGGTGCAAAAAAATGGAAAAACTTGAAAGACACCTATCGTAGAGAACTTCGTAAGTAAAATGTGGTGGCTTCAGGCAGCGCTGCAATGCCGCATTCAAAATGGACACATTTTAAGGATATGTGTTTTTTACAAGATATTATGGAATCGCGGYCCATGTCAGGTAACTTGATCAATGAAACAAGTTGTGATGAATTGGTTGAACTTCATGATGAAGATAAATCGGAAACTCCTGAATCCATAAAATTGATGCAGCCTACACCTAAAAAATTAAAGAAAAAACTTAAAGAAAGCTCAGTGTTTTTGGAGTTGGAGGAAAAGAAGCTTAAGCTTCTAGAAAAAAGCAACGATGAGGAGGAGGATGATTACCATTTTCTTATGAGTTTCAAAAAGTAAATGAAAAATATGGGTGAAGAAAAAATAAATAAAATTTCGCATGAAAATGCAGGAGGTTCTGTACGACATTATGTACGGCAGAGATAATCGGGAATCGGCTACGCCAGTTTCTTTTATTACTTATGTGAGTAGCAGCTCAAATATTGAAACGCAGGATTCAAACAGCTTCATTTTTCCAAATGCGCAAAATTTTAATTAAGCTACTTAATATTAATGTGTGTAATATTATATTAAATACATACTTACATATGTAAGTGAACAAGTATAAATATTGAAATTGAATAAAAATTTATGGAATGGATACATAATATTGTATATTACTTACCTTATGGTCAGTGCGAGCCTTTCTACAGCATCAATTGGTGTTTTCTGATTTCTAGTATTTTTTTCTATATGTTTGGATATATTTATTCAAGATATAATTAAACGTGTCAATTCTCATTCGGTAATACTCCATAAATTTCTCAGGATATTGTAGAAATCGGGTATGTAAATGATGGAACTCTCCATGGCTTTTGCGTTCTTTGCAAATTGGATGCACTTGGAATCTTTTCTGTTTACAAAATCTTAAAATCTGCTGACGTACTAAAAGACTACTTTCTGTAAGCAAAATTTTACGAACGCCTGCACACATGTCTTTTTTTAATGAAAAGTAAAAGAAACTACGAACGGATTTGACGTTATAAATTTTCAATCGCTTCTGATTTCGCTGTACTGCAAACACTCAATCGCTACCGATTACGATGGCGAAACCGCTGGTAGCGATAGAACTCGAAAACGGCTGAACCAAATGAAATACTTCCTTTGGGGGATTTGTTTGTTATTACCACGCGCAGCTCATGTCTTAAAATCAGAACAAAATAGTAAGGGGGCGTGGCACCTCCCATACAAATTGAATTTTTCAAGTCGAATATTTTCAAAAGTGCTTAAGGTAGGAACATGAAAATTGGTACAGAGCTACAGGCTAATAACACCACTCTCACCTATAAAACCGGGGCTATCGAATAAGGGGGCGTGGTAACTCCCATAGAAACTAAATTTTTTAAGCAGAATATCTTTGGAAGGGTTCAAGGTAGGGACCTGAAAATTGGTATAGACCTATATGGTATCAAAAGCCTTCTTACACATAAAAGAAGGGGCAATCGGAAAAGTGGGCGTGGCACCTCCCATACAAACTGAATTTTTCAAGGTGAATATCTTCAAAAGTGTTTAAGGTAGGAACATGAAAATTGGTATAGAGCTATACGAAACAACACCATTCTCACACATAAAACTTGGCGTTATCGAAAAGGGGGCGTGGTACCTCCCATACAATCTTTAATTATTTTGGTTGTTAATCCACCATATATTTATCTAATTTTCCACCTAGCACGACATTTTGATTGTTTCTTGCTATATTGTTAATTTTGGTTGTGTTACGTGCTATTATTGGTTTATGGAAATGGCAGTTTTATGAAACAGACACAAATTAAATTAAACGTCAATTTTGCTTTGCAATCGAACACGCAAAATTTAGAGGACAATAAAAATGCGCCTTGCTTTACTGACATATTGATATATTTTGTTTTAAAAAGTGAGTTATTTAGTGAAAGTGATTTAGCGTGTTGGCGAATACCGATTTATGTAAATTGGAATTTATCATTCAATTGATCTGCTTACTTAGTTTAATTCATTGATTTTTGGAGTTTTCAAAGGTAAGTTACTGGTCCGTAAAACCTTATATGAACTTTATGCAAATGAATGATTATTTCCAATTAGATATTTGTTACGATGCCAAGAATCAGTACGTATGGTAACACTTGTCGGAGTTCCCAGACCGCAAGGAGAACACGAAATAGCAGAGCACGTCAAAGGGAAAGTGTTATTGAGAGGGTATCACCACGAAATCTGCTGGAGAATAGCACGCACCAGTTAGAAGATGTCAACCAAACATACAATCAGCAAGAACGATTGAGAGGAAAGGAAGTTCACAATCAGCAACAACGATCGAGAAGAAGGGAAGTTCGTGCTCCCAAAATGATAAAGTAAGATCACAACATGCGATTATTCGACGACAACAGCGGCAACATCTTTCTTTTGTGAACATTGAATGGGCAGGTTTTCGATATGATCCAAACATTCAATATAGCGCATCTGTACAAATCGTTTAGATGTCAGTAGTTTGTCAAAATTGCAATGCAGTCAAATTTAAAAATGAACCGCCAGGGTTATGTTACGCCGGGGGAAAGGTTAAGTTGCCAGAATTGTTCCCATACAAGCGAACAAAAGACCAACAGGGACACATGAAAGACAATATAATGCACCTACAGTTAGCGAAATATCAGTTGTTGTTGTTGGAGAAAATTTGCAGTCGAGTGATATTGTTATCAAACGTAGAAATCAAAACGCACTAAAACGGATAAGTGAGACACATCGGTCTTGCGACGCAATGCAATATCCGCTCATGTTCTGCCGTGGAGAAGACGGATAATACTTAGGATGTAAGATGATAAGTCCGGTGAATGGTTAGTAAAAAAAAATTTTTGTTTGCTACTTCATATAGGTAATTTAGCGTTTAGGTGTCGAGACAAATAAAAAAGTCAGTTCAATGAAGTTTTACGTATATCGAATGATGATTCGCCAAAACTATGACAACCACTTACTGAGGTTATTTCAACAGTATGCAGGTGACATGTACGTTAAAGTTGAGACAGAACGACTTAATTACATGCGATACAATCAGTCGAATTTGCGATATGAAGAGTATATTCATGCAATGAATGGTGATGCGGATATTACAGATATTGGTCGACTCTATATTTTGCCATCGACGTCAATCATTAAGCGATCGCCACGACGTTACAGCACGCGTGTTTAATAACAAAAACTCAGATGTTTGGTGTACTTTATTACTAAACAACGTGTATATGCCACTGTTCGATGCTGGATGTACTCAGGGGAGTGGCAGAAGAGAGGTTTGCCCCACGCACACATTCTTCTTTGGATGGTGGAGAAAATTACACCTGACCAAATTGATGAAATCATTTCCGCCGAAATTCCTGATGTTGAAATAGATCCAGAGTTGCACGAAGTGGCCAATATGGTTCATGGGCCATGCGGAGAACATGATCCATCTTCGGTTTTTATGTCGGACAGTAAATGCAAAAAACGCTATCCCCGTGCTTTTATTTCGGAAACTCAAACTGGAAACGACGGATACCCTCTCTATCGGCGTCGCTCACCCGCTGACAATGGCAGAACCTTCATCACTCAATTGAAAGGAAAGAATTTTATGGTTGATAACACCTGGATCGTTCCATATTCGCCAATTCTGTCTAAGGCATTCAAAACACGTATAAATGTTGAATATTGCAGTTCAATAAAATCAATTAAGTATGTTTGCAAATATGTCACCAAAGGAAGCGATATGGTGGTTATTGGCGTTGAACGAGATGAAATTAGCAAATTTCAAATGGGCAGATATGTGAACTGCAATGAAGCAATCTGGAGAATATTTTCTTTTGCAATTCATGAACGCCATCCTACTGATGTGCAGCTGGCAGCTCATTTGGAGAATGGACAGCGAGTTTATTTCAACGCAGAGAACATAGTACAGCGAACGGAAATACCACCAACAACCACTTTAACAAGTTTCTTTGCAACTTGCGCCAGTGATCCGTTCGCGAGAATATTGCTTTACTCGGAGATGCCTCGGTATTATACATGGAATGCATCGTCGAAGAAATTGTTGCGCAGGAAGAACGGCCATCCAGTAGATGGTTATCCAGGTGTTTTTTCAACTGATGCATTGGGAAGAATTTACACAATCCATCCAAAAAACGATGATTGCTTTTACCCACGTTTGCTTTTGATTAATGTACGCGGTTCAACTTCATTTGAATCATTGAGGACTGTAGATGGTACCATTTGTGCACCATTTCGAGAAGCATGTCAACAATTGCAATTGCTTGAACACGACAGTCACTGGAATCAAACGCTASTGGATGCAATAGCTTCTTCACCAGCCACTGCAGTTCGTACACTTTTCGCTATTATAATTTCGACATGTCAGCCTTCAAACCCGCGTCTATTATGGTATGCGTACAAAGATGACATGGCAGAAGATATTTTGCATCGAATGCGATTAGCGACAAGAAATGTCGACTTACAAATGAACGCTGACATCTACAATGAAGCATTAGTCCTTATTGAAGATTTACGTTTACTTATGAGTGGAAAACTATTGACTGAAGTTTATATGCCGGCACCAAGTCGTCAAACAAGGGATTTAGTGAGTCGCGAATTGGAACGCGAGCGTGCTTACGATATAACTCACTTGCAACAACAAGTACAAACAAATGTTCCACTGTTGAATGAACAGCAAAGCAGTGCGTACAATCAGCTAATAAATGCTGTAGGTAGTGGAAACGGTGGCATATTTTTCCTCGATGCGCCCGGCGTGTCTGGCAAAACGTTCCCATTGTCTTTAATACTAGCAGCAATACGTGGTCAAGGTGGTATTGCATTAGCTCTTGCATCTACCGGGATTGCTGCAACACTGTTAGAAGGTGGAAGAACGGCATATTCAGCATTAAAGCTTCCATTAAACTTGCAAATACACGAAAGTCCTGTTTGCAATATTTCAAAGCAATCAGCAATGGCACAAGTTTTAAAAAAATGTAAGTTAATCATATGGGATGAATGCACAATAATCGTCGCTTTGTAGGAGGATGATATTGCTGTCGGGCGACTTTAGACAAACACTTCCCGTGATTCCAAAATCAACAGCGGCGGATGAGATAACGCATGTCTGAAGTCATCGCATTTGTGGAGGTTTGTTAAAACCATTTCATTGAACATGAATATGCGAGTTTTGCTGCAAAACGATAGAACTGCGGAGGTTTTTTCAAAAGAGCTGTTGCGAATCGGAAATGGACAACTTCCGATAGATCCTTGCAGTGGATTAATATCGATTCCAACTACGATTTGCCAATTCACATCTAATAAATATGAACTAATCATTAGTGTATATCCAAATATTGCTCAAAATTATGGTAACTACGATTGGTTAAGCACGCGCGCAATTTTAGCAGCGAAAAATATGGATGTCAACGACTTGAATTGGACGATTCAAAATCAAATTTCGGGAGATCTGCGGCCATATAAATCAATCGATCGCGTTGAAAATGAAGACGAGGTAGTAAATTACCCAGTGGAGTTCTTAAACTCTTTGATGCCGCCTGGAATGCCGATTCATAATTTGCGTCTCAAAGTTGGGTCTGTAGTTATTATGCTACGGAATCTTCATGCTCCCAAACTGTGCAGTGGTACTCGACTGATTGTGACCAAGGTAATGGACAATTTAATAGTGGCAAGCATTTTGAAAGGCCCGTTAAAGGGAGAGGAATGCTTACTTCCCCGAATTCCATTAACTTCAACAGATTTGGCATTAAAATTCAGACGTTTACAGTTCCCAGTGAAACTTGCATTTGAGATGACAATAAACAAGTCACAAGGGCAGTCGCTGGAAGAATGCGGCATAAATTTAGAAATGTCTTGCTTTTCACATGGCCAGCTCTATGTGGCGTGTTCCCTTGTTGGAAAACCTTCCTCACTGTTTATTTACGCCGCGGAACAGAAAACCAAAAATATCGTGTACCGTGCAGCCCTAAACTAAATACATATGTACTAAAATTATATACTTTCGAGACTCGATTAAAACTAATAAAATTGAATGAGAATAGTACAAACTTAATTTTATTAAATTGTCAACAAATCCTGGACGCGATGTGTCAGCATTATTGAAGAGAGTAGCATTTTTCAAGCAATTAAATTCAAAAAGCATTAATGTACCCTCGAAAAAAATGTTTATCAGGCAGGTTTTGGCAATTCACTTCCGAGTAAAATTTGTAAAAATTTTGTCAAATTAGGTACAGAAGGCACAAAATTTCACTCGGAAGTAAATTGCAGAACCTGCCTGTATATCATGTTTTTTTATTTAAATTTTTTATCAAAAACAGTTCAAAAAACTCAGCAATAATTTTTTCTTCACTATTTTTCAATATTGGGAATTTGTCAAGGACAAAAAAGGCGGTATTTAAAGTATACACAATGAAATTAGAAAAAATCGTTCATATTCTATGAAAACCAATACCGGTGTAATTTTTAAAATGAAAAAAAAAATCTATTTTGGGCAGAACGAAGTTTGCCGGGTCAGCTAGTATATTATATATTAGAGGACTTGATACGCTCTCTTGTTATTCTTTTTGTATGCAATGGATAAATGTTTCTTCCGCCAATTATAGGAATATAAACCTTATAACACCAAATCTGCTTAACAATTTTATACAGTTACAGTTTTGGATTTAATTGATCGAAAACGGACCAGTATAATATCTTAATATATAAAAATGTAGTGTCCGTGTGTATGTTTCGAATGAACTCAAAAACGAGTCAACTGATATTCATGAAGTTAGCATATACATGTAATTTGGTCCAACCTAGATGATAGGATAGCTTACATCTCAATTTATACTCGCAATATTATATTATTGCAAATTATTTGTATTATTTGTTAGCTCAAAAAGACTCTAAAGATACAAACGCTTTATATAAGCTGCAATTTTATCGTCTCTACAATTAATAATTAACATTTTGTTACTTCTAATTTACAGTTACATAAATAAAGCCAAATAAAAAAAATTAGAGAACAGTGAAATTCATTCATATTAAATTAAATTAAATTAAAAGTTTATAATTTTCAGCTGTCACAAAAACAGAACTGACAACACCGACAACACTGAACACTTACCAAAATTAAATACCAACAGCGAAGTGTTGTATGCGGCAGGTAGTTTACGACAATACCCTATGTGGATGCCATTCGATGGCCATAGGTGGTGTGTATGCAGGAATAACTATTTCTATTTAGGAGATGCATGTATGCATTTATTTATATTATATTTAATGAACTATTTAATAATGACCTGGTTTGCATAAATATGCTGCTTTCTCAACATGTAAAATTTAGCAACGACATGAACCTACGGTTATTTTCCAATTGGAAAAGTGTTATGCACAGCGTATAAGCACATAAAGMGAACGGTTACCTGCACAAATTCATAAGTTTAATTAAATTACAAATTTAGGAATACAAACTTAAATTAAACGTAAAACATTGTGTTTAAAATTGAACATGTTCGTTTTCTTAAATAAGGTAAGTTAAGAAATTAGTAATATTTAAGATCATGAAAACATATTTAATTTTAGATAATCATTTCTTTCCCTCGGCAATATGTTCAAATATCATTGAACATGCTTACTTATCAGCAAAGCCGAAGTTCTAATAAACATAAATATCTATTTATATATTAATATACATACATACATATATACATATATACGTAATGCATTTAGAT